TTTATTTATCTATACTTATGTCATCGTTTCTTTTTGTCCTTCACAGGCCAGGTTTCAGCCACACTTTACTATCCTGCTGGTGTGCCATACATAACTTTATCAATATTCCAATCCACATCACACCACTCTTCAGATTTTATATTGTCTCTTTCAGGAGTCCAAACCTCACAAACTATTTAATTTAAGACATTTAAAAAAGAGAAAACCCTCACATTTCAGAAGGTGAAATTGATGTCTTGGTATTGATGTATGAAAAAAATGACCTGGTGACAATTGAATCTGTTGTAATTGACAAAATCAAATGTTCTGTATGTTGAATCTGATGTGTGAAGTTCCTCTGTGGGTATAAAATGTAAAACATATGTTGAAGTGGGTCACTCTCCATGTGACTGAGTGGGTTGACAGCACTGCCTCCCTCGGATCATCTTGCACATGCGCATTGATGCCCGCTCTTCGTCATGGCTGACAGGGACTGGCCGGGCTGTGCGAGGGCTCTGAAAGCTGTGGTGCTGGACTTGTGCGGGGTCCTGTACGAAAGCGGGGAGGGGGACACCGTCGCCATCCCGGGCTCCGTTGAAGCTGTGAACAGGTGAGAGCACAAACACACAGCCTGCGGAGCAAAGTGCAGCCATGCGTTCAGAGTTTTCACTCCGCTGGTAACTCGTGGAGATGACCGGAGGTCTTTGCAGTGCTCCTGAAGCTTCTGCACGGATACATGAAAGCAGTTAACAGAGGGTCTCTCAGTATCAATGTGTTGTGATCAGCCGTGCGCCCCCTCCTCAGTCTGACCTCCTCTCCCTTTACTTTAAAGGCTCAAGTCTTCAGACCTGCAGCTGCGCTTCTGCACCAATGAGACTCAGGCCTGCAGAGACAAGTTTGTGGCCAAGCTGCAGGTCGCGGGCTTTGACATCTCCGTGTCCGAGGTCTTCTCTCCCGCCCCTGCAGCTGTATCTGTCCTCAAAGAGAGAGGGCTCCGGCCTCACCTGCTGGTGCATGATGGTAATGCTGCTTTATTATATGTCAGAAGTTACAAGAGAGGCTGGGACAATATCTCTAGGTCATATTCCTGCGTCTAATCCTGTTAGTACAGGGCTCCTGGTGTTAAGTTAAGTTTAGCCTCTGCACACTGTGATGAAACTAACCAAATAAAACACTTTATGTCAATATAGAGCTAGTGTTTGTGGGTGGAAGAGCAGGTTATTCTCTTAAACCAGAAGGTTGGAAGTCAGATCTCAGTCCACACGTAGATGCACTGTCTGAATGTGTGTGAAGGGAAGAGACTGTACAGTGAAGAGCTTTGAGTGGTCATCAAGACTATAACCATTATAATTTCCCTGAAACTGAAAATACAATAATATGTACTTTTGTCATTGTCGACGAATCTCATAAAAAGACCAAAATAAATATTCACACACTAAAATAAAACAATCCATGTGTTTTTATAAAACAGATGGACATTGTAGTTTTTAGTAAACTTTAGCAAAAGCATGAATAAATTCAGGTGTTTCAGACAGAGACTCAGAATATGAGCTGCAGCAATGGACAGTCTGAAGAAAGAGATGTGTTAAAGCATTGTAGCAAGTAAACGTTTCAGGTAATAACCCAAAGAAGGATGAACCTGAATATGAATAAAATGTCTCCTTTGAGGCAGACTGACATGATTACTACGTGTGTTTATTCCTCTGCAGGACTTCTCCCTGAGTTTGACAGTCTTGACAAGACCGACCCAAACTGTGTGGTCATCGGAGATGCAGCCGAGAAATTCTCCTACCAAAACCTGAATGATGCATTCAGGGTCCTCATAGGCCTGGAGAAGCCAGTGCTGTTCTCTCTGGGCCAAGGGTAAATACAAGTGTATATTTCCTATTCCAAATAATAAGCACATTGTCAACTATCTAATATCGTGAGAAAATATCTGTCCTGTTTCACTGTGTTCGTAGGAGGTACTACAAGGAGACTAATGGTTTGACATTAGATGTCGGGGTTTACATGAAGGCTTTGGAGGTACAGTACAGCAGCTGCGTAATGTGCATTGTTAAGAATAGATGACATCTGTGTGCATGTGAACAATGAGTAATTATTCTTTTACTCTTTGTTCCCTCCAGTACGCCTGTGATCTAGAGGCTGAAGTCATCGGGAAGCCATCCCCAATGTTCTTCCAGAGTGTTCTCAATGACATGGGGCTACAACCACACGAGGTACGTTGCAGCAGGTGACCCTGCAGACTTGACATCTCAGCCTGAGACTCGCTCCACTCTCTGGATTTCCTTTCTTTCACCGAGACACAGATACATCTGCTTCCCTCTCCAACATCAGTTTCTCTCCCTGGTTTTCATGCACAAAGATTGGGGTGCAAGTGTTTACTTTCTGGACGTTTTTTGTTTGTTGAGTCAGTCACATATCAAAATCAAGCAGTTATCATTCCTTTTACAAAAATCCTTTTCAAATCAGAAATCTGATTCCTATCACAGAACAAACAGCTGGATACAAGTAAGATTCACAGGATTCTTTGTTGTCTTATCCACATCTACCTTTTATCAATCTAATCATTTCATTGAAAAAATTGAGTCAGTGGAGAGGATAGCTGAGCGCCTTTAAAAGGAAACTTGAAGAAAAGGGTGAAATGAATCTGCCAACTGACTACTGATGAGCCGTAGTTGGGAGGCAGGAACAACAGGAAGAGATACTTGTAACAACATGCGCTTTCCGCAAAACAACGATAACAGTAAATGTTGAAACGTAGCAATCATGTCATTAAATGGTGTTAAAACCCCATAAAGGTTCTTAACTAGTGCTACCAGGGAAAGAGTGAATTGATCGCTACAGTTTTCCAGCTTTGACCTGAAGTTGTTAATGTTACATGGAACAAACCAAAAAAAATCAAAGTCAAATAGAATCCATGTGGTAACAACAACCCACCCTCAATCCCTTTAGTGAAAATGAATGTAAAATGTATCCCCCTAGCTTATCTGTACAGACAGGCCAATATCCACTTTTTATGTAGCGCAACCTCTCTGCTTGAGAGCATCCACTAAATACAATTCTAACCATCTCTCATTTTGCAGGTGCTGATGATCGGGGACGATCTGGTGAATGACGTAGGTGGGGCGCAGCACTGTGGAATGAAAGGCGTACAAGTCAGGACTGGAAAGTACAGGTCAGTGATGCACAAATACAGCGTCAGTGAACTATATTGACCTTGATACAAAACCTGATCTTGACGTCTTAGTGGCCACTGCTGGTTTTTTTTGGGGTTAGTCAAACTATCACTCAACCATACCTACATGTGTCCTGCTGAAGTGTCCAGGAACAAGTCATTCACTGGTGCGTTTACACCTGAAGGTAAAAATAGAAAAATGCTTTTTTAAAATTTTATAAATGTACAAGTTATGCGGTTAGATAAAGTACCACAGACATCATACATCCACATTTTAAACCATTCTGCTTTTAGAAAATGTTAAGCACCCTTGAAGAAATAAAGGGTGAAGTGTGAAGTTAGTCTGGCCATAATAGAAAAAAATACATTCATCTTTTTGTCAGCAGAGGGCACCCTTGCACCAGTGTTGTGACTCAAAGCTTCCTCTGTAAACGCACAGGCTTCCTGTGAACCAACCACCTCATTCTTCAGTCCTCCAGATTTGTTTATTTGATTGAGAATCCACCAGAAATAGCTTCATTCTCTCCACATGTTGAACGCTCGTCGTCCACAAGGCCGTAGTCTCTCCGTAGGATTTATGGTTCCGAGTCTGGAGATTACTGGGGGCGCCTTTCTTATGGTGTAATTACAAAAACATATGGTTGATTATTTTAGAAGATATATAGATGTAGTAGTAAGGGCGTGAAGAAAATAGAAAAGCGAGCAGAATTAAGAGGGAACATTTTTATGGTGCTTCACATTACATCACACATGTGCTATATATTATAATGCATGTTTAAAGTAGTATGGTACGTTCATAGACTAAGACTACCTCACTTTTGTGCACTTATGAAATATCAGTAGAAAAGGACGCCGAATCCCAAAACACTTTTTCAACACTTGTTGGTGAAAACCTGTTTTTTAAACTTTTTTAATTAAAACAATCAGCAGCATTTACTGTGAAGCAGCATTGAAGGGATCTTTACTTAATTTAAAGTAGAAACACAATCACACCAACCAGGAAATTGTCATCAATTTCACATCGATTAATGCAGAAGTTGCACCAAATTGCTCAGAGACAAATATCAGTTCCCTAAGTATACCAGATTTTTTGCTTGCTCCACTGCTGTGCATTGGCATGCAGGTTTTGGTCATGTGACCTGAGAACGCTGAGTAATCTGCTTGAGCATCAGTCAGCTCTAATCCTGCACTAAGAGCACAGTCACTCACTGTACAACCTGTCCCCTGTCTGTTATTCTTGTGTGCATGACCCGAGTATGTGGGTGTGTTGTGGCTCCACCTTCCCGTGCTTTTGTGCATGTCGCTGGCATGTACGTGCATGCATGTCTGTGTGTATCCGTGCATGTGTGTTCAGAAGCCGGCAGTGTTTCAGCCATCACGTGTATCTGAAGGTTTCTTCATGCAGATCCTCAGTGGATCGAGCTGAATCCATCTGGGTTATGTGACTTCAAATCGTTTCCCAGCAGCTCAGGTCAGCTCCAGTGTGCTGACACTCAGCGTCACAGATACTCAACTAAACACAGGATAAAGCAGATTAAATGATATCATATGGAGGAGACAGAGATCTGGGCAGAGTAGTGGCCCGCAGAGGAACATATTTAAATTCAGTGTGTTACGAGACGAGTTGTGTTTCACCTGTGGTGGTCTAGATGTAGGTTCATGGAGTTTATATGGGGAAACTCATGTATATATACGCATACAACAGTGGAGTAGATCAAGAGGTTTTATATGATATTGTTTTAATGACTTTACAGTATAATTACACAGGTACATTTATGACTGAAATCAGGTCATAGTGTCACTTTTTGTTGAAGTGCAGCACAAGGTGTTGCATCATGTTTGTGTGTGAGCTGCAACAGTGGGTTTTTATATCTGTATTTTCTCTCTCTGAACCTCAGCCAATCATAGGAAGTTAAAAACTGTGTATTAATAAGAATTTAGGGGTCTAGAATGAGTTGTCATTTACTCATTGAACATAGACATCTCACAATAATCCAGATCCTTCAACAGACTATACACACTCTGAGTGTGGGGAGAAGAGAAAGACATTGACGCGTGTTTCCGTGGAACGGGGGAGACGTGAGATTTAGCGTTGTTTAGCCGAGCAGGCCCAGTGAACCCAGGCTTTCTGGGAGCAGCTATAAACCCTCAGTCAGATCTATGAAAACACAGCTGTTTCCAAGTCAACCAGATGCTGCGCAGGCCTCCAGTTCCCATCACGCCCGGAGAAAAGACTGCCTCAAATACCTCAGGCCCGGTGACAAGGCCGGAAAGGGAAAGATACAAATCACAGACAAATCTAATCATATCGACTTATTTTCAGGAAAGAAAAAGACTTTCGACTTGATATTCTGTTTCTCAGAAAGGATTGACCTGAAATTATTTACACTTTATTTAGATGTGTGAGACACAAACTTTGTTATTTTGCATGTTTTAACTGTGAGGTCTAAACTCATATCAAAAGGTAAAATGCTCTGGAGTGAATAATTTACATTTACTACCAGAAAGTTAATAGTTGATAAATGTACCTTTTGTCTCACTTTAATATGAACTGATTTAACTCTACAGTACTGCAGGATGTCAGATTTGTCTAAATGGATGCATGCTGTTATAATCATGTCAGCAGATTTAATATTGTTATGCTCAATGCACATTTAAATATGATGCATGGCACATTATGTGCGTATTATGTCATTGTGATGGTTCCTGCAGATTAAACTTAAGAAGTTTAGTGCCCTGCAAATAATGGCTGTTAAGACTATAGGTGTAATATAGAGGTAATTGAAATAAGGGTGTTCTGCTTGCAGTCAAGGTTTCCTTGTTCTTAAATAACGAGCTTAAGTTAGCACACGCTTCCCTCGGGGGAGCCAGAGAACCCTTTGCTCTTTAATGTAGAACAGGTTTGCAAAGAGGGGCCTACCACCAGAAAGTGGTTGGAAATTAGACTGGAGATCTGGCTGCTGATGTAAATCAGCTGCATGGGAACAATGTGCAGACGCCACGCTCTGCTCCAACCTCCTCTCAGTTATTATGTGTCGGATTCAGTCACAACATCAAAAGCTGCATATTAAATCTAAATACTTTAAGGCAGATTTCTGTCCAGAACATTGTATCTGCAACCACTGCATGTTTAAAGATCAGCACCAAATGCTCGCTCGTGTTCTCAGTCTTGTTTGCTTAATCTTGAAATAGATGCAGTATATCTGGATTCATATTGTTGAGCATTCTAATAAAGCTCAGCTGATGTTTACTATGAATTTAGACGGCTTTATTGAATCACTTTTTAATATCACAAATGTTGATTAATGGAGCGTTAAACATTCCTTTTTGTTTTACTTCTCCATCTGTATGTGACATTCCAGTGTAAGTTACTGGCAGAACTATCTTGCTGTCTCTTGTACAGTGACATTTTTCAGACAGACATCTCCCACGGTTTGTGACCTCGACTGCTCCTCTGTTCTTTGTTGCTGTTCTCTTATCGTCAAGGAACTGCTTCAGCACAAAGCTGGGTATCTTTGAAGCCTTCACAAAAGCAGGTTTGCACCATGCTGTTCCTTCATGCACTATTTGTAATCCAGTTTAATTGCTGCTTCTTGCCGACAGTATTACTTTCTGAAGCTTCTAATCTTGGCATGCGGACTGTTTCTCTGTGTATCTGTGGTAATCAAAGGAGCTGAATTTCAAGCTTTTGATTTAACCAACACCTTCAATATTGGTGTGTGTAATTCTGCTGTGAAGAAAAACAGTATTGATATGTCGGACGCTGACGCAGTATTGATGTAGGTGTTTTGAACGAGGGCCAGTGAGTTAGAGGAAGCCCTCGCTGGATTCCCGTTGGAATCTGGCTCAGCAAACATTTTCACAGAGCAGCGAGCATCTTCAGAATGGTTTACACTGTAAACCTCTCCCTGTGGCCGACGCTCCGCTGCTAATGTGAGTGTTGGGACATGTTTTTTCCAAACAGGCCGAGCCAGATCAAACCTCTCCAGAGAGAATTAGCCCTTCATGATTCAAAAAACAAAAAAAAGGACTAGTTACTTTGCAGAAGCCGCACCCTGGTCCGTGCACTTTCTGTCTTGCAGCCGTCACACATGCAGGGACACAACAGGAAGTCAGCGTTGCAGGGGTTGAGTGGACATGTGATTGTTGTGCAGATGAGTTTTCCTTAGGTGTTATTGTTTCTGCACTATGGGGGGGGGTCATATTTGAGGTGCAAGCCCACACTATACACTGTGTATATATATAAAGAGAGAGAGAGAGAGAGAGAAACAAACTGCATGTTTCAGAAAGAACACGCTAAAGGTAAAAACTTTCATGTGCCTGGTTTGCAAAACTGAAAAGACAGCAATAGCTTTCATCATCTGTTCAACACTAGTTAGCTTTCACACATTCCATAGATACCTCTAACTTGCCTTGCAGTCACTCTGGATAAATGTTAGCTAAGTTTCAAGTAGCTGTTACATATTTATCACGGTTTGTTAACAAGTGAAATCAGAGACAAACAAACACTGGAGGCTTTTTTAATTTGATCAACGGACCGTGTTTGTGTCAGAAATGGATTTTCCTCAGATGAAACTGTCAGGGATTGAAGTCACCCGCGCTCAGCCTTTTTCTCAGGCATTTTTATAGGTTTTTATTGAAAGCCAGACTTCTTAACATCTTTGACTTCATATTACACTTGACTGACATGAAAGTTTTTATCTGTCACCTCACAGCTAGAAGGTTCCCGGTTGGAATCCCAGCTTGGCTTTCTGTGCGGAGTTTCCCCCCGTTTTTCCCCACAGAGCTCGTAATTACTGTCCAAACAATGTGATGAGAATGTGGGTTTTGCGTATCAGAATACTTACAATAATATGTTGTTGCACTGGTAATCCCAGATTGGTAGGAATGACTTTTCCATGTGGAGTTTGCATGTTCTCTCCGTGTTTTATTCGGGTACTCCGACTTTCCCCTTCAATCCAAATACATGCAGATTGGGGGTTTTGTTAAAAGGAGACTTT